TAAACTATGGGTTAGTCTATTGGTTCGTTTAAGGACTAGTCTGTTCTCTTTATTTAGATTATTGATAAGTATATAGGTTAGTCTATTAACTACACTATTGACTACTTTATTCACTAGTCTTTTGACTAGACTATGGATTAGACTATAGTCTATTGACTAGTTTACGGACTTGTCTATGAAGTAGTCCATTAACTAGTCTATTGATTAGTCTGTAGACTAACATATTGATGTCTGTATACTAGTCTATTAACTAATCTACTGATAAGTCTATGTACTATTGACTGGTGTATTTATAAGTCTATGGACTAGTCTACTGATTAGGCCATGGACTAGGTTATTGCCTAGTCCATGTACGACGCTATTGATTAATCTATAGACTAGTCTCTTAACTAGTTCATTGTTTTACTGACTAGACTGTGTCCACTGACTAGTTTACGAATTAGTCTATAGACTAGTTCGAACTGTAAAAGTACTATAGAATTGATATTACGTTTTAAGTTTGGGGTGTTTCTATAAATGTATTTTATCTTAAAAACAAACTTTTTTGAGATTTTATATTTAAGATTTTTAATTGAAAAACTTATAAAAAATCGTTTTATTTCTTTAAATTTTTTATGTTTTCTTTAGAGGCAAAAGACCTTTACCACTATAAACGTTTTATTGCAAAAGTATGACTCAAAGTTAACGTTCTCAGAATTTCATATGTATTTTTAAAATGTTAATGATTTAACATAAGAAAAAAGTTTGTATATAACTGGGTCTGTTGTTAGTTTTTAATCTAGCCACCGTTCTGCTTAATCAATTTTTTATGCAAATATTTTAAAACTATAGAAATATTGAATTTAGGTTTTTTCCGCTAAATGTATAAACAACATTTATAACTCAATAATAAGTCGTGTTTTATCCATGAAAATTTATAATTATTTTGTACTTTGTCTGTTAAGCTGTTTAATTTTTCTGATTACTCATTCATCTGATTCCGAGATATGAAAAGGTGTTAAGTAGTATATTCATTATAAATTGGATACTCATATGATGACGCTAGTTAAGTTGTTGTTATTATTGCTAAAGTTTATAGTAAATAAAAATATGTTTTTTTTTTTTTTTTTGTCATTAAATTTTAAAAAACTTTGAACTAGACAGTAAAAGAGATGCTGTAAACAACAAGTAATTAGGAACACACGTACGATTTGTTTACCAAAACAAGTTAAAATTGTATACATATTCCGAGAATAAAAGTTCAAGGAATTATTTAAAATACAATAAAATTCCACATATTCGTACTTAATAAATGTCAATGTATGAAATGTATGAAGTTTGATAACACATTTACAGGGAAAGATATTTATTTTTTTGTACATTGCCGAATCCACCTAAAAACATTGTCTTACATCTGGGCACTTCGATCAATAATGGACTGAAGTCTTTAGAGAGTGATTAATTTCTAATAACAAATCAGTTCTGTCGAATTTCTCATAATAAGTACGTGCATTGGTTTTTAAACGATTTAGTCTATTGTTTAGTATATAGTCTAGTCTAGTTCATATACACATATAGTCTATAGACTATTATATAGAAAATAATAAGTACGTGCCTTGGCTTTTAAACGATTTAGTCTATTGTTTAGTATATAGTCTAGTCTATAGTCTAGTCTATAGTCTAGTCTATAGTCTAGTCTATAGTCTAGTCTATAGTCTAGTCTATAGTCTAGTCTATAGTCTAGTCTATAGTCTAGTATATAGTCTAGTCTATAGTCTAGTCTATAGTCTAGTCTATAGTCTAGTCTATAGTCTAGTCTATAGTCTAGTCTATAGTCTAGTCTTTTTTTTTTTTTTTGTTGCGCAGGAGGTGTGGAATCTTCAAAAGATGTATTCAACCCGTGTTGAAAAACATGCACGACTCGCCTAAGCGTCTACGTACTAAACCACACCCCCTTCCGTCCCAAAACCCCGCGGGACTGCCAATTGGTATTACTTCGCGGGGCCGGTTTGCCTGTTATCGGCTATTCATCAATTTTCGGCTTGCACGCAGCCTTGAGTGACCTTTCGGTGTCTTTCTAATTCGCATAGTTGTCTATGTACTGCTGTGAGAAATTTATTAAAAGCATTCCAGTTTTCTTCGGTTTTTATAATATTATTTATGATATTGTCTACCGTTATATTTTCGCCAATGTGGAGGATCAGCCTTGATCTGAGTGCGTCAAACCGTGGACACTTGAATGTTACGTGTTCTGCGGTTTCATCTTCTTCAGGGCATTGTGGACACCTTGAAGAGTTGTCGTGTCCGAATCTATGAAGATAACTTCTGTATCCCCCGTGTCCTGTGAGAAATTGCGTGAGGTTGTAGTTTACCTCACCATGTTTTCGATGTACCCAGACTTTTATACATGGTATTAATCTGTATGTCCATCTGCCTTTTGGGGAATTTTCCCATCTTCTTTGCCAACTTGCCATAGTGTGCTCCTTTTCGATTTCCCGAATATGGTTCCTGGGAATTTCGTCATTATTTGCAAGTTGCTTGTAAACGTTTGCAAGTTCTTTAGCTGAAATGTCAATGGGAGGAATTCCCGCAACAACGCTTGCCGCCTCTACAGATATTGTTCTATAGCCGCTACAGACCCTTAGACAGTTTCTTCGGTATACTGAGAACATATGTTTTTTCGAACAGTTTCTTATCGACGACTCCCAAATTGGAGCTCCATATAAAAGCACTGAGTTAGTGACTCTGGATAAGAGTAGTCTACGACTCTGGCGTGGTCCACCAATGTTTGGCATCATTCTCGATAGCGCATTTGTTACTCTTGCAGCTTTCTCGCACGAATAGCTTATGTGCTCTTTAAAGTTGAGTCGGTCATCGACCATGATTCCCAGATATTTTATTGCCTCTGCGGATGTTATTGAGCTATCACCTACCTGTATTGTTAGGGACTCTCTCTTTTTTTTTTCCGCTTATAAGCACCAGTTCTGTTTTATGTTCCGCTAGATAAAGGTTCATTGAAGTTAACCATTTTCTTATCGTACTAATAGCTTCGTTCGCATACAGTTGCACTTCATTTATGAATCTTGCCTGGATTAGTAGAGCTATGTCATCTGCGAATCCGACTACAGTCGCTTCTTCTGGTAGATTTAATTCAAATATACCATTATACATGATATTCCACAACAAGGGTCCTAGTACGGATCCTTGGGGAACACCTGATGTGATGTTATATTTTTTTATGCCATCGTCTGTTTCTACCAATAGAGATCTATTGGAGAAGTAATCTTTAATTATTTTAATAAGATACTCTGGAACGTTTTTGCGTCTTAAAGCGGACAGTATGTGCTTCCAACCCGCTGAATTAAATGCATTCTTGATATCAAGCGTTATGACAGCCACAGTATTTTCTGTTTTTGCCTTTTCCGTTTATTGCCTGTTTGGCCATTTCAATTACATAGTTAATTGCGTCTATGGTAGACCTACCTTTACGAAATCCGAACTGTCTTTCGGATAAGCCATTTACATTCTCGACAGTCTATAGTCTAGTCTATAGTCTAGTCTATAGTCTAGTCTATAGTCTAGTCTATAGTCTAGTCTATAGTCTAGTCTATAGTCTAGTCTATAGTCTAGTCTATAGTCTAGTCTATAGTCTAGTCTATAGTCTAGTCTATAGTCTAGTCTACGTCTAGTCTATAGTCTAGTCTATAGACTAGGACTATAGACAATATATACTTGAACTATAGTCTAGTCTAGTCTAGTATGTCTAGTCTATAGTCTAGTCTATAGTCTAGTCTATAGTCTAGTCTATAGTCTAGTCTATAGTCTAGCTATAGTCTAGTCTATAGTCTAGTCTATAGTCTAGTCTATAGTCTAGTCTAGTCTAGTCTATAGTCTAGTCTATAGTCTAGTCTATAGTCTAGTCTATAGTCTAGTCTATAGTCTAGTCCATAGTCTAGTCCATAGTCTAGTCTATAGTCTAGTCTATGGTCTAGTCTATAGTCTAGTCTGTAGTCTAGTCTATAGTCTAGTCTATAGTCTAGTCTATAGTCTAGTCTATAGTCTAGTCTATAGTCTAGTCTATAGTCTAGTCTGTAGTCTAGTCTATAGTCTAGTCTATAGTCTAGTCTATAGTCTAGTCTATAGTCTAGTCTATAGTCTAGTCTATAGTCTAGTCTATAGTCTAGTCTATAGTCTAGTCTATAGTCTAGTCTATAGTCTAGTCTATAGTCTAGTCTATAGTCTAGTCTATAGTCTAGTCTATAGTCTAGTCTATAGTCTAGTCTATAGTCTAGTCTATAGTCTAGTCTATAGTCTAGTCTATAGTCTAGTCTATAGTCTAGTCTATAGTCTAGTCTATAGTCTAGTCTAGTCTAGTCTATAGTCTAGTCTATAGTCTAGTCTATTCTGTAGTCTAGTCCATAGTCTAGTCTATAGTCTAGTCTATGGTCTAGTCTTTAGTCTAGTCTATAGTCTAGTCTATAGTCTAGTCTATAGTCAAGTCTATAGTCTAGTCTGTAGTCTAGTCTATAGTCTAGTCTATAGTCTAGTCTATAGTCTAGTCTATAGTCTAGTCTATAGTCTAGTCTATAGTATAGTCTATAGTCTAGTCTATAGTCTAGTCTATAGTCTAGTCTATAGTCAAGTCTATAGTCTAGTCTATAGTCAAGTCTATAGTCTAGTCTATAGTCTAGTCTATAGTCTAGTCTATAGTCTAGTCTATAGTTTAGTCTATAGTCTAGTCTATAGTATAGATTATAGTCTAGTTTATAGTCTAGAATCTTTTCTAGACTGTAGTCTGGGGTCTAGTTTATGATCTATCCATAGTCTTGAATGTAGATCTACATATAATAATTCATTAAAAACACAGCCAAATAAAAATAAACAAAATAAATTAATAATATTACTGTCAAAGCCAATACATATTCATGCCTGTAAGCATGAATATATAAATACAACCCTGAATAACCAATAATTACAACCCTGCATCAGTCATTTTGACATTTCGAATTCGAAATTGGTTGAAAAAATTTTTCGAAAATGGCTGCTATTTCCGTTTAACAATTTTTCCTGTCTTTCTGAAAAGCGACGATTACAAGTCGACACCATGAGGTACGAATTTTGTGAATAAAAACCCAAAAAAACATTGAAAATTTGTGTAAAAATATCGAATGAAACATAAACAAATAGTGCTTTATATGAAAACAATGAATTAATAATAAAAAATGGTGTTTTTTACAGTTCCTTGAAACTTCAAAAGAGGCTGGCAGCCTCTGTTATGAGATGCGGCAAAAAGAAGGTTTGGTTGGATCCCAATGAAATTAACGAAATTGCCAATACCAACTCCCGTAAGTATAAAGTGAAAAAATAACAAAACAAGAAACTTGTTAACAAACAATTTGGTGGTTTTATCCAATTCTAACACGAGGTGTTATAAAATACAGGAGAAGTTTATAGTGCAACGTGTTTGAAAAAACAAAACAAAGTAAAAAAAGGCATTTGTCATTTTTGTGAAATAATTAAAAGAAAAACATGCAGCTCTAAAACATTGAGGTTAGAGTAAAGTTAAACGTTTGTTCAATTGTTAAAAAAACTTGATCTTGTTGAAACCACCAAATTTTTTAGATAAAAACTATTAAAATGTGTTTATATTAAATATATATTTTGTTTATTTTTAGGCCAAAACATCCGCAAATTGATTAAGGATGGTTTGATCATCAAAAAACCCGTGGTCGTACACTCCCGCTACCGTGTCCGTAAGAACACTGAAGCTCGTCGCAAGGGCCGTCACTGCGGCTTTGGTAAACGCAAGGGTACTGCCAATGCCCGTATGCCAACAAAATTCTTGTGGATGCAACGTCAACGTGTACTCCGTCGTTTGTTGAAGAAGTACCGTGACAGCAAGAAAATCGATCGTCACTTGTACCACGATTTGTACATGAAGTGCAAAGGTAATGTTTTCAAGAACAAGCGTGTCCTCATGGAATACATCCACAAGAAGAAGGCCGAGAAACAACGTAGCAAAATGTTGGCTGACCAAGCTGAGGCCAGAAGACAAAAGGTACGCGAAGCCCGTAAGCGCCGTGAAGAGCGTATTGCCAACAAGAAGCAAGAACTCATCAACATGCACGCTAAAGAAGATGAAATTGCTGCCCAAGCTGCCACCACTGGCAAGAAATAGATTTTTTTAGAGTGTAGTTTTTCAAACAACTAAAGTTGTTTATAGAAAAAATAAAACCGTTTTTATAATAAAAACTAAAAGTAAATGTTAAAAAACTAAACTCAATTATAATTCGTTAAAAATTTATTATTTTATAAATGGTAACAAAAAGAATCTTTATTCGTATGAAACAACAAAAAACGCCTTTCGAAAAGTGTATGAATGAATCCTCAGTTACTACTCTTCTCTTTTGAGCTCGTTGATCAAATCGATGGGCTTAAAGTGATTGACAATGTTAATGGTCCAATCGGATTCCTGGCCAGTCGTGAACTCTTTAATAAAGCGATAATTACAAACGAACACTTTGTCTTGGTATTCTGGTAGAGTTCCCATATTCCAAGGAATATCTTCACCAGATTCACGCATCTCCTGAAGGCCCCTGAGTACATGAAAGACCATAGTGATTTCAACCCATCTTTTTTGAACTTTCTCATTTGTCTCATCAAATATTATGCCAACTTGGTAGGGAAATGTAAGATAGATATCCGACTCCTTAACCTCCAACTGCCGTCTCTGGGAGACCGACAATTTTTGTATGACTGGTTTAAGCTCTGACAGAGCTTCAGAAGTTACTAGATTATTAAGTGTTGCAAAATCACCATTCATCAGTTTGCTAGAAACTACCTAGATAGTAAATGATCAGAAAAAGTGCAATGTTTAAAGCTGTTAAAAATTATATACATATGTATGTAGTAATTTGATGTAAAATAAAATCTTTTTCTCCATGAATGGTAAGAATACAAAAGATATTGAAATCTAATGCTAACTTTCAGCCTCATTTTAACTAAAAATTTAATCTATTCTTACCTGCATAGCCTTTTTAGCTCCTTGACAGAAGTCCCTGATATTAAATTCACGATCCATATAGGGACGTATTATAAATTGAACCATTATCCAGTTTTTAATTGAATTTAGCATTGAGGGCCACATTGTTTCGGGGAAATTCATTAGACGTGGTAACGTACGACCATGTCCATGATCCGGCATTTGCTTATCATCCTTATCTTCATCTTTTCCATTATTTGTCCTTTTCTTTAAATTATCTTCACTTTCCGCCGGTTTTGGTGAGAAATTGGCATAACCTCTTGTTTGAGAACAATGTTTTTCTATATTCCACAATCTTCCCAAGAGATTTGTAGTGCCTGCAACATAGATTCTACTACTGCTGCTCGCATTGTTGTTTTTGTTGTTCACCTGCCAATTGTTTATTTTCTTTTCCTGCTGCTGGCAACTTACACTCTTTAGCCCTTTTACAGCCCACTGTTGCAGGGTTAAATTACTTCTGTAAACACCATGTATTATTCTTAAGTTTCTTATGGGTATATTCATTACGCAAATTATTTGGAAAATCGGAAAATATGTGAAAATTTTCGAAAAAAAATTGATTATATGAAAATAAGCTGAAAAAAGCAAAACTGTCAAAACATTATTTTTCAAGTGTCATTAATCCCGCAGTGTTGTATTTTTTTATGTTAACCCTAATGTCAGTACTCACATGCCGCGGTATGTTTGTTATTTTGGAAGTGATAAATCTCAAGTTTTATATGTCGATACGACTTGAAACTTGGTGAATTCCTTAATAATAATGTTTCCTATAAACGTTTTAATGACTACAATATTATGCAGATGAAAGCTAAAACATTTTTTTAATACTACTTACGCACTGTTTACAATGCATGGAAATCTAGTAGATTTCACTCGAAATCTTTCTTTAAATCTAGGCCGAAACGGTCTTAATATTTTTGATATATAGCAAGATTTAATTTTTTCTAATATTTCTCCAAATTGTGTTTGATGGAAAAAATTAGAACGAAATATGGGTATCCTAGAATTATGGGTATTAGAATATGATATGATTAGAGTATAATAATTGTTGGTCTATGTATATATAAATAGTGCTTTTTGATGTTAGGATAAAACAATTTGACTATTTTGAAATTAAATAATCTGGCAACCAAGATGAAAAAACAAAAAATGTGAAGAACACGAAAAATAAGAAGAGTGTGTTTGAAGCAAACAAAAAAGTGTTTGTAGCAAACACGAGATACGAAAAATGCATTGCTGTTTGACAAACCAGAATTTCCTAGGTCGTCAAACATATGTATTTTAAATGGGACATCAAACAAAATCAGTTTGAAGGAAAATATTCATGCGCGAGCTGTATGTTTTCGCGCCATTTTTGCAAATTCTTCTTTATTTGATGTTCTGTCATTTTACATACATACATTTTGAGTTTGTAAAACGTGTTCAGTTTGGAATTTGTTTAAATTTTTTTTAGAAAAATTATGAAATCTATATCATTTTTTCAATTTCTTTATTCCAATAACCTAGCCTTATAAATGGTTATAAATTTCTACTTAAGAATATTTTACATACAAATTTTGTTATTATTAATTTCGTTATTGGAAATAACATAATTGTTTATTGAAAAAGTATTTATGTAAGTGTTATTTTTAGTATTTTACTAAAAATATTGATTGATTTGGCCTGTTTGCAAGAGATTAAAAAAATGTAAGTGTGTAATGATGTTAAATAAAGAACCTCTTTCTTTTTAAGAAAGAGGAGGCATCATGATGGTATCCTGGAAGAATGCCCACAAGAGATTGGTAATTGTATACCTCCCTAGGAGGACATGCCAACGTTGAAATAACTAGTCACCTAGGGGGGTGGTGGTCGGTGGTGACATGGGTATATTACCGTCTAAAGGGAATGGACGGATGCTGATTGCCGTATGTAGGAGTTATCCTAGGGATACATACTTAATATTTTACCATTGAGCTCAGCAGAATCACTACCATACACCCATAGCGTGTGATGTCTGTCTGGTGTGCCTTTCAGTGAAGCTCTGGCCGAATATTTACAAGAAACAATTGTTATACAAATTTATTGCACTGTAAATAATGTCTTCACGAACCTAGAGGATATAATCTGGCTAGGCTGTCTTCTTTCTGAAGGTATTCCTTATCACTTGATGTACTTGCGACTGTATCATCAAGAATGGCAAAATGAGGAAATGTGTTTGGATTTGAATGAATGTCATTTCATTTCGAATGGCCTGTTGGAACAGGTCTGCTATATGCGTACTCAATTGGTTGGTTCCTTGGGATCACCACAATTTTAATAAATAGCAACAATGGTCATCTTAGTATGCATAATATAATTCTCAAATCGAATTTTTGGTATGCCTTTAAAGCCGCTCTTGCTGATGGGATGTATCCTCATACATATACATACATATGTATGCATGTATATTGGATTCTAAGGTTAATCATATTAAATCGCCCTGCAGAAGAGAAATGGTTGTACATCAAAATTCTGTTTTGCGACCATTGAATTTGGACTCTATGATGAGTTCGTTGAAATTAGATTCACCCTATAAACAAATAGTTCCATTTGTAATGGTGAATAATGTAATACTGCTGTGACGCATATTAAAGTTGCTTTGTTTGCAGGATTGTTGTAAGGTAAGCTGACCATACGTTCTCTTTTTTTAGAGGACAATCATCTAGTTTAAATGGCTATCATCTTTAAAATTTATGTACTCTTTTTGTCATCTATTTCCATAATATGCTTTTAACAACGGATTTTTTTGTAGAAAACACTTTTTTTGTTTTTGTCTTTTATTAAAAAGTAATTTTTTTATTAAAAAATATAATATGTATTAAAAAGCCATCGTTATAAAATACTTTTTTAAAATAGTTTTGTCCAAAATTTAAAAAATCATAATATGCATAAAATAATTTGTATTAAAAAAATAATTTTGTTATTGTATATCGTGGAATAATAGTTTATGAAATAATACAATTCCATTTTGACTCGTCCTCTATATTTGGCTTAACTGAAGCTGGCGTTTGATTCACTAAAATTAAATATAAGGTTTTTATTTGTGAAATGAAGAACCATATTAGTATTTTAAAGTTTACATTTTAATTTAATGTTTGTAGCATTGCAATTTCCGTTTTTCAAACGTCCATTATTATTTTGAGCCTCTAACAAAGATTGTTCTTTTTTGTCCACTAAAATAAAAGAAATCTTATGAAATACTGAAAGCCTTAGAAAACTATTTTCCAATTTTTCAATTCATTATTAAAAGTTTAATAATGAAGTAGGTACTTTTCGAACTCTTTTTGGTTTCAATAGTAAGTTTTGAAATTGATTAACATTTTAATACAAAAAATTATAGGAAATTTTTAACTTACAAAAAATACAGAATACTCTTTTCTGTAGAGGAAGAGTTAATTCCTTGGCAGCCTTTTCTAATGTCTCTCGTGCACTTTCAACACAATTTAACATTTCACGCAATAGTCTGGGTTGATAACGATCATATAAATTCAACTTTCTATCCCAATAAAAGGGTAAGTTTTCCTCACGCAAACTCTTTTCCAAGTCTTTAAACATCTAAAAGAAGCGGAAACATAAATACTACATGTTACCGTTAAACTCTACTATACAATTACATCAATTATTATTTCCGTTAATGATTTGGACCAATAGCTCTCATTTTCTCTGCTGGATTTCCATAGGAAGAGCGTTTTGATAAAGTAACTTTTCATTTTCAACATATTAGTTTTGGAATCTCTAAATTTTTTCATCATGCGATAAACATTTTTCAATTGTTTTCGGTTTTTTATTATGTTTTGTTCTTGTCGATAAAACGATGCTCTAAATGATTTGTACAGGGGATTATTAATTGGTGAAGGCTTAGGTATAGCTTCCCATTGGCCGCCAATTTTTGAAGTAACACATTGATTAGCATTTAACAATATACCAGGAACAAAATCTACCGAATACTCAAAATGCAATGATTCCGTAACTTTAATAGTATGAGCGGGACCTTGACGACTATAGCGTAATGAAGATGTTTTTCCATTAAAAGTTATCTCGAAATTCATTTTGGTTAAAACATCAATAAAGCAACTTCGAAGAAACCATTGAAACTTTTCAACTTTAAGATAATTATCATTGTCAAGCCACTGCTTAAGGTGTTGTAAATTTTTCTCATGTTGCTTTTCCTTTGCAATTTTCTGTATTACTCGGGTAAAGTCTAGAAAAACATTACCTGGTAA